AAGCAAACCACCACCACCTCACTCTATGATCAGCCACTCTTTCCCACTACTCCTTGTCACCTTAGTGGACCTTTACACCCAATCTCCAGCTCTTCCCACATTCTAAGAGCTGGAGGATTGATCCTCTCTCCTCATTCTCCATAAAGTTCTTTCATTCTACACTTAGCAACCAAAGGACACTCTCCAAAATTCTCTCATCTTTTCTCTCAACTTCAAGAACTTCAAGGCTTTCTTCAGGGATTTCTTTCTTCAATTAGTAAGTATCTTCATCATTCATATAATTATTACACTCCATTCTACTCAAATCATTGATATCTTACACAAATTCCATCTTATTCGATGTTAGATTCTCGAATCACCAAGACATCTTCTTAGTGTTCTTGGGTTGAACACTTCCTCTCTCTCACTTTCATCTACTGAAACCACATAGGGTGAGTTCATACCCCTACATTTACATGTTTTTCTTAAGTTTTAAGGGGGGAATACAAGTAAAATCATCAAGAACACAATTAAACTTTTTCTATCAGATTACATCAGAAAAGATGAACTTCGATCACGGACTGTTTTGGTCAACTTAAATATTTTAGTTTTCAAAACTGTTCCAGGTGCAAGTAGTTCAAACTCTTAGCTTTAAAATGGCTACTTGCACATCTCCATATGATTTTTCTACAATTTATGGTGATTTTTACAAAACTGCCTATCATTTCAGAGGCAAACCCGGACCAGTCTGTGATTATGAACATTTTCACCTCTGTTAGAGATCACTAAAAATCATGATAAAATTTACGAACAAACTAGACTCATATTCCAAACTCTCAGAATTTGCGGATTTGGATTTAGAGCTTTGATGATTTTTCTATAAATTTTCTAAGAACAGTAACAGAAACTGTATACAACAAAAAGTTGCTGTCAATTTCATTTCACCTTGTAACATGTGAGCAAGGTGTATATCTTTATGTGATTATATGTTATTGCAATATATGACATTTTTTTTCTTAATATTTAGACACACATCAGTTTACAAATGGATTTGGACGTATAAAATATAAAGAATAACAAGTGATTATAATCAAAGTACAACCGATACATTCAAACATTTAATAAACTATTTTCAATATAGTTTGCATACATTACTACGTACTACCCTTGGTTGATAAACTATAATAGGTATAGTTTATGAAACATTACATAACACATACATTTAAAAAGGGTACATTTATACAAAGGATATTTTCATTAAGCAAGGTACGGCCATACGGTACCAAGTTTTCATAACACGTAATTCCGTTAATGACTTTGTGAGACATTTACTTCAAATTACCATTAAGTCCTGTATTGTAACCAGAGTCTCCTTGAGGGAGAGCGTGATAGTTGTGTATAGATCTATATTGGGTTTGACAAACCCACACCTAAACTGCATGCAACAGTTAGACCGATAGGTCTGGGGTGACAAATGTCATAACATTTACGACGCCTAAAGAACGTCGTTTCAGGCCAACTAGGTCATAGCATGGTTATAATAACTCACATGTGGTATTAACAAACATAGAATTTACGGGGATTTCACTAAAATCAAACGAGTTTATGTCGATTTAAACTTGCATTGTTTTACTATAAGGAACGAACACTACTTGTACATTTCGGTCTATGGGTTTTAAGACTACATTTACACATTAAGAAAAATATTGGATTTTCTGGAACGAACACTACTTTTACAAGAAAAGGCTTTCATAAACTCACATTAAATATTAACAAACATAGAATTTACGGGGATTTCACTAAAATCAAACGAGTTTATGTCGATTTAAACTTGCATTGTTTTACTATAAGGAACGAACACTACTTGTACATTTCGGTCTTTGGGTTTTAAGACTACATTTACACATTAAGGAAAATATTGGATTTTCTGGAACGAACACTACTTTTACAAGAAAAGGCTTTCATAAACTCACATTAAATATAAACAAACATAGAATTTACGGGGATTTCACTAAAATCAAACGAGTTTATGTCGATTTAAACTTGCATTGTTTTACTATAAATATGACAAATTACTTGTACATTTCGGTCTTTGGGTTTTAAGACTACATTTACACATTAAGGAAAATATTGGATTTTCTGGAACGAACACTACTTTTACAAGAAAAGGTTTCATAACTACATACAAAAGCTTATGCACTCACCAACTTAATTGTTGACACTCTTTCAAAACTACTTGTATTCTCAGGAAATCACTAAACAGGTAAACAAGTGCTTTTGAGGATGGGACGTTAAGGCGTCAAACATTTCATATTTTATCAACATAATGTAATTGATTCATAAACATGTAATTCATACAATGATGTAACTTTTTCAATTATATTATGTTGGTTATGTTTACTTTGATCACTATTGAAATTGTTGTTATGATACTATACATGAAGTCCTCCACCCCCGGACGTTTCCGCCATCCTTGGTTTGGGGGTGTGACAAAGACGGAGTCGACGAGTTCAAGGATGAACTCGGCGAGTCATAGACTGAACACCTTCATATGGATATATATGGACTCGACGAGTTCAAGGACGAACTCGGCGAGTCGGTTGAAGATAGTCCGATGTGTTGTTGAAGGCGAACTCGTCGAGCTCTTGCTAGACTCGACAAGTAGGGACGAGATTATGGCATTTTGTGGACATGGGGACTCGGCGAGTTGGTAGGCCAATTCGGCGAGTCGAGTCAACCAGATGTTGACTTTGACCAAAGTTGACATTGACCAAGGTGTTGACCTTGACTTTGTCTTGGACTGGAGTTGACCCTTGTAAGGGTTACTAGTATGGATTGGTAAGTTAGAAAAGTTGTTGTGTAGGGATCGAGAATTCGAGGAGAGTTGGTTTTCATACCGAGATCAGTGCAGACACTACACGACTTTGAGGTGAGTTTCCTCCTAGTAGGAGTGGGTCTACGGCCACAATGTCGGCCTACAAGTAAGAGTGTTGGATAGATGATTGTCTTTGTGATAATTATCTAGTGTTGATATGTGATATGATTATTTTGTCTGATATGATTATTGTGCTTGATATGTGCTAGCAGTAGTAGGGAGTGAAATAGTCTCCGGTTACCGGTTGAAAGATACCGAATGGGAGGGTAGCTCCCAGTTACCGGTTGCAAGATACCGAATGGGAGGTTAGTTCCCGGTTACCGGTTGAAAGATACCGAAGAGGGGTCCAACTCCTGGCTATGCTCGACAGTTACCGGTTGGAAAATACCGAGGATTATGTATTATATGGTATGGGTATGATGGGGGAACTCACTAAGCTTTGTGCTTACAGGTTTTAGTTTTGGTTTCAGGTACCTCTTCATCCAAGGGGAAGGAGTCGGCGGGGTAGCAGCGCATCACACATATACACATGACTTTCCGCATTTGAGAAGTCTGGGATTGTACTCTGACATTTTACCATTTGAAGTCATGGTTTTCAAGACTTGTGATTTTTACTTGATGTTTTGAAATGATAACAATGATGTTTTCCGTGAACTATTTTATTAAGTAATATGAAATAAAAAAGATTGGGTCTCGATTTTGGGATGTTACATCATTAATCTTCAATCTCACAAAAAATGAGCTGATTCGGACATGTTTTGGTTGGGTTTTTGGTCTGATGAACAACAATGCAGAAAGCTCCCAACAACATACATTGGCAGCCCATTATAGTCAGCAACAGCCCAATATGAAGAATTTAGCAGCCCATTTTCAGATTTTAAATAGCCCAACTAATTTATATGGCAGCCCATTATCTTTATTTATCCAGCAGCCCATGTTTCAATTTAATTGAGCCCACTACTCTTTTGGGTTGGCAAGAGAACGCAACAAATGAAGGGCACAAAGAAAAGAAGATCACAATTCATTTTTTCGCCGGCAGTAGAGTAGGAGGGAGTGACGGCGCCTTTGGTGTCTCCTTCTTTCTTTTCCTTTCTTATTTTTGGAAATCAAACAATATTATATTTATGTCATGATTTTATTGTGTTGTAATTAGTTATTTTCTTTAGATTAGACTAGGTTAATTTTTATATTAATACTTTGATTATTGATGGAGTTTTTGGAGCAGCAAGGAGTGACGATTTCAAGAAGCTTTGTCATCTTCATTTCGTAATCGGTATTTGTATAATTTCTATTCTTTTTATTATCATCATTATTATGTGTAGTTAGTTTTTATTGTCAATATTGGGGGAATCTATGGAACAATTAATTGATTAGGAATATTTTTGTGTGGTTTTGATGGTATGTTATGAAAATAATTTCTAGTAAAGCATCTATTTATGTTCATATGTCTTTAATCATGAGTTTAAATATGTGAATGTTTAATTAGTTGGTTAATTTCTTGATTACGTAATAAATCCTCAAATTAACAAACGATAAATGGTTCTTGTGACTGTTTTCCTTTCACACAATCATGACAGTATTTTTTCCAACATGATAGTGAAACCATTTTGACTCCTCTTGGATTTAGTGACTTTTAAATCTTAATGCTAGTTAATTTTCATTATTTACATGCTTCATGGAAATGGAAATTGTGACTTTAACTAATAAAATGTGTTATGAGCTTCTCTAACCATTATGTTAACTAAGAAAAGTCTAGGTGATCTCAAGCTTCTTAGATTGCTATAGCCAAATTACTATCCATTAAACCCATTGCACCACAAAATTATGATGATTAGTCAAATAGTTGAACTTGCGATTTATCCCGATATTGGAACATTTTATTTTATGGATTTTGTATTTTGCCATTTTTTTTATTTTTGAAAAATAGTTTTTATCGCATTTAACATTTTGAAAACCCCCATATCATTTTATATTTTTATTTTGTAGAAACTGAATGCATAGATTTGATTCGAACCAATCCCTGGGATTCGATCCCTATTATCGCTACTACAATTCATTTTTGTATGTCGTCGTATTTAGGTTTTTTTTATTTGGTGGTCTCGACACCCACCAGATACATTAGTTGCATTATAGTTTTACAAAAGTTGTGGAAAACAGGTGTTTATATACACCTTTGATTTGTTAACACAACTTTTAAACATAGCTGCTTGTTGCTGTCTTCCTTATCAAGTAACTATCATAATATGGTGAACTAATCCGATAACATGATTACGTCGGATAAGATAGGTGTTTGGATGGGTTTGATGTGCTGATGTCATCTGTCAAGTGAACTGTGTTAGTGAAGCTGGAGTAAAAGATATTTATATTTAGAAAAATTGTTTTACTTGGGAAGTTGTATGTCTGAGATTTGTATTCATCTAGAATTGTTGGAAGAGTGCCTATGAGTGAAGCGATAGCAATTGATCAGTGCATCACATGGAATCCGATTATCTTGTGAACCGTGTTATCAGATAACATGACAGATACTTCGGTTGTTGGGTCAACAATTGTTGCATGAATTTTGTAAATATGGATAGACTGCAATAGAACCATATTAAAAGTATGAATATAACTTATGAAATAAAGGAACTAAAAGCTAAGAATAATAAAATCTACTTGAAGCAGATAAGGAAGAGCAAAATCAATGATGTTCGTCAATCAGGGTAGCTCAAGAGCAACAAATGTACAGATTAGATCATAACAAACAAACAAACATGAAGCAAAGCATTCCTTCTTTCCCTGCAATGATGAATAACCCAAATTATCATAAGACACTGAATTTACCAATTGGCCCTGACAAATACCATATCATATTCAACATAAAACCCACCACATCGAATTAGAACAATCAAAAATGAAACTATATGTAGCCATGACCAAAAATCTATAAAGTTTATTGTAAAAAACAGGGACAACCTTTATACTAGAAGTGTAACTTGTAGCAACCTTAAAACAGCTGTGAGATAAACAAAGTTATGAGATGAGAGATAAATAACATAAAACGATCACATTAAAACAGAGGAAGATGAACGAAGTGAAGGTATCACCTTAGTTACCATTCACACATAGATGGAGAAGCTGTAAAACAAAGAATCAAGGAAATAAATGTATGATGTTAGTTCAACCTAAAAATGCATCACCCAACACTTGTATGGCGGTGTATGTATAATCTGAGTAAAAGATCGAAAAAACATAAAAACTTACAAGGATCTTGAAGTAGATGTAATGATGGAACGTTGAAGCACCTAACACCCATTTGGTAACTTGTTTGTTATTCCAAAATGAAATGATTTTCATGAAGAAAAATCAAAAATCTACTTCAGAAATAAAGAACTTTAAAGGGAAAAACAGAATATGATCAATAAATGAATCTATTACCCATGTTGAGGAGATGAGTGTTTGAAGACCATCAACTGCGTGTTTGTAGTCTGCAATAGATTAACCTTTCCTACTACCATCAATCATGCTCCTCTGCTAACAAAAAAAAAACAAAAAACAAAAAACCAAATAATCAATAGAAGTTGTGTTCGTTGTGTATTGACAGAGGAGACCAAAACAATGAAAGGAAGATAAAGTACAACTTACATGGTAGGGGCTGATATGCAAACCCTTTTCTTGTAGACATTTCGTCGAACACCTGATAAGCAACAATTATCAAAAATCGAAGAGTCAGGAAGCTGAAAATTTTAGTAAATCTTTATGGAAACCGACATACAAAATGAATATAAGAAATTGCAGAAATCATAAACAAAAAGTAAAGCTTAGACAATCTCTGTTAAAGAACGCCTTTATGTAATCGATTCACCTTCGATATCTTCCCGTTTTTTGCTTTATCTTGCGAGGCAATTGCTTAGCTTCATTGTGCTTGTTTCCTAGTAATCATATAGGTTGAACCCGTTGTATCGGATGAAAAGGAAGACGGTGGAAGGATCGGTTGCGAACAATCTGAAATGAGTCGGAGGTGTGGTGGTTGTGTTTAGAAGTTTCGTTCAGAAATGGAGGAATCTAGAAAAGAAATGGTGGGAAGCACAGGAAGCGAGGCAGAACCGGTGGGGGAGACGTGGGAATGACATGTATCGGCGCCCATCTTTTATCTTTACACTTTTAATAATTTAAGGGACTAAATTGCCAATATAACAAACTTTAGTGCCAAAAATCTGAACCACTAAAAATATAAAAAGTTATGAACCAATTTTGCCAACCGCTTAAGAACTTTACTGTTCCTAAGGGGTGCACAACTTTTATATATATATATATATATATATATATATATATATATATATATATATATATATAAACTTCTTTCTTAAATATCCATCCTATCAGATTGTTCTGGTGAATGCAACCCAAAATGGATCATGCTACTCTCGGGTCAAGTACATACCAATTATAGTTATGGGCTTAGACACCTAATCCAACACTTAAATCACCAGGACTCTATTTCCTTAGTATCAGATATAGACTTGCCCTACTGGTTCCTTAGAACCACGACTAAGCATCTAGACACTAACTCTAGACTACTCCCCAGCACTGCTCCTGATGGGTTTGAGCCAAAATAACATCATATGTGCTCATGCAAACCCTAATGCTTGGATCTAGGTTTCTCTATTGTACATGCAATTCATCCAAGACTTTCTAACCCTGGATCTAGTGTATATAATCGAAATTAACATCACAAATCAGATCTAGATGTTTACCTTGTTGTTGATTGAAGATCTTGAAGCCTTGAGAACTTTAGCACCTCAAGTGTTGTGCCTCTAATGAATCACAAACACCAATGGCAATTAGAGGAAACAGGAGAGAGAGAGAGAGAGAGAGAGAGAGAGAGAGGAGAGGAGAATTTCGGCTCTAGGACTTCTAGGGTTCAAGTGGCCGAACTTCCCATACCTAGGGGTCCTTTATATAGGTGTAGGAATTAGAGATTCAATAGTTATCCTTATCTGATTACTTAGCCACCAAGCAGCCCAAGGATAATTCTAGAATCCCTATCATGGACGAATTCTTAAGGCTTTATCCCTAGAATTCGTCTACCCAATCTATTAGGGTTTCCTTGCCCAACTTTGTAACTATCACATAATTACAGTTCAGCCCCTTAAGTTGAATTAACTCCTTTTGATCACAAAACTAATTCTTAATTAATTGTTGACCAATGTTAATTAAACAATTATGATTTCTTGTCACACCCTCGAACCGGACGGCGGAATCGTCTGAGGGCTCGTGTGACTATCAATTGTATATCATCACAATGAATTTAAATGAAACGTAACAAACACCATCATCATACATTCAAAATTACAACCATCATTTCTTACATCGAGTAGTGGGTTATAAGTTACATGCCAACACAGAATGTATATAATAGCAAGACAAGTACAAAAAGTTGTCAAATTCTTGAAGTCCACCTGTTTAACGATTTCCTGAGAATACAAGTTAATTTGAAAATGTCAACATATATAATGTTGGTGAGTTCATAAGCATGTTTAAGTAAACAGTTTTGTATAGTTTTGTAACACCAGAAAATCCGATATTTTCTAAAAAAAAATGAGTTGTGAAGATTGTGTTCGATCTTGTATTAATGCATGTGTGTCATGGTATAAAAAGTACATTCCCGAAAATCCTATATTTTCTGATATAAGTAGAAGATATTGTTTAGTTAAATGTTTTCTCCAGAAAATCCGATATTTCCTGATTATAAAAAAAAACTGAAGCAGTCTTAATCGCCAAAGACTATGTGACATTGATGAAGTATTCCGTAAATTTATAATGGAGTTATTCTCTAAGTGGGTCGCTATAACCATATATAATAATGACAAATTCACTTGTCGTGACGTTTAATAAACGCCGAAGAATCATAAGATAAAAGTTTGTCACCCTAGACTGGCCTAGTCTAACTGTAGCGAACAGCTCAGGTGTGGAGTGTCACCCCCGTATAGATCTATACACAAACTCACGCTCTCCCTCCAGGAGACTCTGACTATAACTACAGGCTACGATCGCGCACTCGATAGGTGTCAACCGAAAAAAATCTCACTAGAGTCTTTACCAAAATTTACGCGAATATGGAATTACACTATTAAACATAATTAATAAATTTTTGATATCATTGACATGTAAATGGACGTCAAGGGTCCAAATTACATGTAATGTAAATTCCAGGCCCAATAGACATGTAAAAGGACACTAAGGACCACTAAACATGCAAAAGGACACTAAGGCCCACTAAGCATGTGAAAGGACACTAAAGCCCACTAAACATGTATATTCTATTTCAGGCCCAAAAGTGAATGAGTATTTCAAGACCCAATATACTTGTAAAGGGACAACTAAGGCCCACTAAACTTGTATATTATTTCCAGGTCCAATACGAAAGTAATTACCGTGTTTAACCCGTTTTCTTATTGTTATGTTCGTTTTATATCAAGTATTTGCCAAATTGTGTTAGAAGGACCACTTTTGTAAAAATGACACTCTTGGCCCAATAAGTCAAAAATTTACAATTAAGGCCCAATCTTAGTAAAAAAAACACTTTAGTCTCCATTATGTTCCAAACTTGCTTTTATGACTAATTTTTGGTAAAAATAACATCTTTAACCCATTTTTGTCAAACATACCATTTTTGGCTTGATTGTTATGAAAATACACATTTTTCTGGTTTTGAGCTTTTCGGACCTAGTTTTTGAAAATTTTGTAGAAAAATCATCGTAAGTCGAAATTTGGATCCGTAAATTCTGGAAGTTTGGAAATTTTGTCTACTTTGTTCAAAATTTTTCTAATATTTTTTAATCGCTTCTAACAAGTGCGAAATTGCTCACCTTAACAGGCTGATCCGAAATTATTTTAAATCTGATAGGCAGTTTTGTAAAATTCGCCAAAAATTGTAGAAAAATCGTATGAAAACGTGAGAGTAGTCATTTTAAAGGTATAAACCTGAACTTTTGGCATGTAAAACAGTTTTGAAAAATATTATAATTTAGGTGGTCAAAACTGTTCGAGATTGTACCAAAACTTTTTTGTGAAGGGCTGATTTTTGAGTTTAGTTTATAGATCTTGGAACACAACACTCATTTTTACTATTTTAAGTGTATAAATCCCAGATCTACTAGTTTACATGTATTATATGTGATAACACATACTTTTATCAAGATTTTTATGAAGATCCAAGTGGTAAACTTCATATTCTTAACATATTTCTAGATTTATTAGATAAACAACACATAATCACCAAATAAATCATGTAAAACACACATAGTCATGCATATACACATAGATCTACACAAGACAACTTGTATTCTCCACCAAAACAAAGTAAAAAAACCGAAAATAGGGGGTATGAACTCACCTTGGGGTGATGGATCGGTTTTGGTGAAGAAGTGGAAGAAGATTTTTGATCCTAGCAAGCTTTCTTGAGTAGATCTTGAACTTAGATGGGTCTAAGAACATGATCCACAAATATATGGATGTAAGAGGAGATCTTTGAAGAGATCAAGAAGTTAAATCATAGATCTAAGTGAGAACTTACCAAAGTTGATGATCTTGAAGGAGAATTTCTTGAAGCATACTCTAATTCTCGAAAATTTAGAGGAGAGTGTAGGAGTGTTCTTGTGAGCTTTCCTTAAGAGACTTGTAAGTAAAATGAGTGTGTGGTGGTGATTTTTGGCTCTATGGCCGAATTTAAGAAGGATAAGAGGAAGTGAGAGAGTCTTGCCTAGATACATAAACTTACCTTGTTGTATGGTGGTTATTGTGCATGGATGACCACCATGCAACATTGAGGTGGCAAAGTTAGGATTAATTATCCATTTCCCTTTTTTTACACAAGTATGGGCCGAAAATGGGCTAGAAGGAAAGAGGTGAATTAATTTGGCCCATTTATTTCCTTTGTTCGAAATTATGAAGCCTGTAGAGAGGATTTTTGGCCCATTAGGGTGATATATTTCATTTTAGGCCCATTATAGCCCAAAATGTTAAATCTCATGAAGGTGGGTTGAATTAGAGCCCAATTAAGAGTTCTTAGCCTAAACTAGTGAAATTGGAGACTTATTGGTCCATTAGGCCCAATAAGAAAATCCTAGTCCATATTGGACTTAAACCGGGATTTTTAGGGTTTCCAATCCTTTGTTGACTATCTAAAGTGTTTGTATAGAGTGTTTGATGGAAATTTTTGTTGTTATTGAATAAACATCATGCATGCTTTCGAGTTTTAGTTACAAATGTTATCATCATTATCGTTACAAAATCATAGAATTCCTAGTCGTGACATCATCCCCCCGTTAGAGGGAATTTCGTCCCGAAATTCTTTTTGAAGTTAGATTTGAGAATGCGAGAATAGGTGAGGGTACTTTTGCTTCATCTGGTCTTCGCGTTCCCATGTGAATTCTGGTCCATGCTTTGCGTTCCATCGAACTTTCACAATCGGAATACGACTTTGCTTCGTACTCTTAACTTCTCTAGCCATGATTTCGACTGGTTCTTCGGTGAACAGGAGATTCTCGTTTATCTCGATCTCTTCTAAAGGAATGATAAGAGTTTTTCCCTAATTTGGATAATCTTCTCTGTCGTTTCTTGAATGATTTCTGGTTTTCCACTTAAATCTTGGCACAAGTGAGGCACTTATCCACATAAGTGGCAAATTTCTGCCTTTATGTTCAGCTTCCAATAATATCGTTTGTTGTCCAGCTATACTTTATTGGAACCTAGATGGACAGGCTATCACGTTTTATAGGCTTTGTTCATGTCTAACTGTGTTCCCCTGGCCTTCTGGAGTGACTGCCAAAGAATCATGGGGTAAATCTACTATCCCGATCCGAGATTATAGGCGCTGGCACTCCCTGGAGTCTCACGGTCTCTTTGGTATATATCCGTGTTAATCTTTCCATCTTGTACAATTCTCTTGTCGGCAGGAAATGAGCAGATTTGATTAACCTATCGACGATCAACCAGTTAGTGCTCGATCCAACTCTTGTAATAATAAGCTTCATCCTTTTAACTTTGAGAGTTTTATCCAATCCACGCAATGCTTCTTTCGCGATATTCTCCGACTGTCATGCCTCCAAAGCCAATCGTAAGTGTTGACAGTGTTTGTTCTTGTTTCATG